TTGATCCCATGTCGCCTCCGGTACTTTAGGAAGGGCACACTTCTTTCCTAGAAGAGCCGGGTGGGTGTTGTATCGACGCAACCGGTGGTTAAGTTGCAGCGAAAGGAAAGAAACCATATAAAACTTGCTCTTCCAGCTGCTCCACTTAGAAGGCTTATCCAGCGTCATCATATATTCCGGATGCGTGGTAAGAGTATACCACACGTTCCAGCCGCCTGGGGCGCGGCTGAGGTAGTGCATATGTGCAAACGCCTCCCAGCTAGGCGTTATTTCCTGCATCTCGCAAGCGGAGATATATCCTAGTATGTTCACCCATGAGTTGGGTGTTAGTTGCCAGACGCCAAGGTCGTAACCCCTTAGAATGGCTTTTATTGTGTTGTGAAGGAAGAACCGGAGGCCGGCTTTGAATGCCGCCTCCTAGCAGCCAAAGTAATCATTGGAATGGTCAAGGTCATCTTCCAAGACGACGGTTGCCTCGACAGGCGGCACCACTATTTCCCATCCGGCCCCAAATGGACGCTTCTCCAAAAAAGCAGGTAGGGTTGCGTTTAAGGTGACCACGTCCCGGGTGCTCATATGCGCCTCTGTTGGATTGTTTATAGAGGGCCACTTATATGCCTCCTCATCCTCTTGAGTGGCATCCGGCTTCATGGTTGACTCAGTAGAGTCGGATTGTTGGACGGTCTCCTCCCCGTCTGTGCTCTCGGATTCCTCCAAAATCTCACCTCTGGGCGTGCTAGGAACGCCCGGCTGGTCATAAGGTACATCATCAGCCGGAGCTTCGGCTGAGCCTTCTGACTAGTATTCTGGGTCTACAGTCGTCCGTCTAGTCCGAGCCATTCTGTCCTGCACATGAACAAAGACGGTCGGATTCGCAGAAGAGTAAGGGTGGTCCAAACACCCCCAGACGGCATCCCCAGTCCTAAACTCAGCCGTGTTCGGTGACTAGTTGACAACTGTCCTAGGCCGTGCCGTGTGTGTGTTGGGTGAGTCCATTATTCTCTAACAACCTATACAACCGGAAAAAACGCAAAAAAGTTGCAAGGGGCAGAGACGGTACTTTTGAAGTTGTAAAATCTGGAAAAAGTTGACTCCTCGAAGTCAGCAGCCGGAAATCTGAGTTGTTGCTTGGTGATACCCGATACGGTAGCCCGGATGTACCCTCTTCAAAGAGCAACCGGAATTTTGAAGCTACCCAACCGTTTCTCTGAAATGTGGCTTGAAGATACCCAACACAGTAATGACTGGCTGAGGGTGTATTGAGAGCTAGGGAAAATTGCTGAGTGGTCAGGCGGTTTTGAAGAAAATGGCTTGACGTTGCCCTAGACGGTAATGACCGGCTGTGGGTCTATTGAAAGCAAGAGAAGAAAATTGGCTAAAGTCAGGCGGTATCTGAGAGTTTTGAGCAAAGAGCACTCAGACGGTGTCCGGATGAGTTTAGGAAGAGGAAGAGGTTGGATGCAAAACCAGCCGGCATCAGAGCTTTTTCCTAAGGAAGTTCTTGTGAAAATTTGCAAAGTGTTGCAAATGAGGGTGAAGGGTTTCCATTTATAGAAAGAACCAGGAGGCGAACCATCATTTCCCCTTCAAATTCAAATTCGAAAATCGAATTCAAAAAAAAAATGGTGGGAAGGAGACGAACCGTCACCTTCCCAGAACGCGACACCTGTCACCTTCTTAGAACGCGACACCTGTCACAGGTGCCACGTGGCAAACCACGTCCCACATGTGAAGGACAAATGTTTAGGGTAAAAATACCCTTTCCATGCGGCCCAATGGCATGCTGACACGTGTCAGCCTTAGAAAGGCCCAACGGGATCCAATCCTCTGCTGACACGTGGCACTTTAACCCTAAAAGGGGAACTGATCCCCTTGCACTATAAATAGAGGAAAATCCTCATTTATTACACATTGACAAATATTCATAAATACATACAAAAAAAATCGAGCGATATTAATTGCAGAATCCTCTCTGAATCAGAGAGAAAAACATTTACATTCCGCACTTTATTACATCCGGAAACGTTCTAACTTGATCGTCGGAGGCGGAACTCCACCAAACCGGAGTTTCCGTGGTTTTGCAGGTACAGACGGTCGAAGCGCATTTTTGGAATTGTAACTCTCCCGAGGGACTCCAAAAACCCTGAAACAACTGATTCAGTTAAAAGATCTGTAATGTTCTTGAGCACAACTGCTGAAATCTAGAAACAACTTGAGACGAGATTTCTTCAGACCAATGGTGCAAGGAAATACAAACTAAACAAAGAGTATGAGATCCAGCAAAATGGTAAGTCAATTAGTGACTATTACACCAGAATTAGGTCTTTGTGGGGTGAAATAGAAGGCCTGAACATACTGCCTCCTATTACCACTATGACGCCTGAAATAAGTGCATTTATAAGTGTATTGAATGTGCAAATGGAGGAGCAGCAACTCTTTCAATTTCTCAATGGACTGGATGCTTCATATGCTACTCAGAGAAGTCACATATTGATGCAAAGCCCTCTACCCAGTGTAGAAGCTGCGTGTGCAACTTTGCAGCAAGAGGAGTCTTAGAGAAAGACTCTCAATGAAGCTAAGGGAGAAGGGGAGCCAATTACCTTTAGCAGTAGGGGGCAAGAGCCAAACAGACTTGGTTGGTCAAACAATAGAGAAAGAGACCAGGAACACCATGGAACAGGATGCTCAGTCTGTGGAAGCAAGTCTCATTCTGATGAAAGGTGCTGGAAGGTGGTTGGGTACCCTAAATGGCATCATATGTACAAGAAACAACAAGGAAAAGGTGAATCTGGTGCAAAAGGGAAACGAAACAAGCAGAAAACGGGCAAGTTTGCTGGGAATGTTCAAGACTCTAAGGAATCAGTGTCCATAACTGCTTAACATCTGGAGCAGCTGCTAAAACTTTTTCCTTCAAGATCAAAGCATAGCAAGACTGGCTATGACACCGAGGATAAAATAGATGTGAACTTTGCAAGTATGATTACTTGCTATAATGTTTCTAGTATAGAAAATGAATGGATAATTGATTCAGGGGCAACACATCATATGATTTGTGATGCTAAACTCTTAAACTCATGCATGCCTATGAATGGTAAAGCTAAAATAAATCTGCCAACTAGTAATACTACCGCTATAACCTGTAGAGATGACATCCTGTTGAAAAATGGGTTAAAACTGTTGAATGTGTTGTATGTGCCTGAATTTAGACATAACTTGATGTCTGTGGGAAAACATATGAAAGATAATGATTGTGAAGTAAAATTCTACTCTAAATTGTGTACTATTCAGGATTGTGCAACATAGAAAGTAAGAGCAACAGGTAAAGCTGGATGTGGTCTGTTCTACTTGGAGGATGGTGAAAAGAATAAGCAGCTGAAGAAAAGAGTAGATGAGAAGAGGATGCAGGGAGATGCAAACAACTCTATTTGTAATAATTCTAGTCTAGAAATATGCAGTTTATGGCATAATAGGCTAGGACATGCTCCTATGAGCAAAATTATGAAAACTGGTTGTGTATCTAACTCTAAATTTGCTGATGATGCTGTGTGTTTGATCTGTCCTATAGCTAAATTTACAAAATTACCATTTCCTGTTAGTGATTCTCATGCTCAGAAGCTGTTTGAAATGATACATATTGACATATGGGTCCATACAGGGTGAAAACAAAGGGAAATTACAGGTATTTCCTAACAATAGTTGACGACTGTTCTAGAGCTACATGGGTTCAGTTGTTGAAATTGAAATCAGAAGCTTACAATGGTATTAAGGAATTCATACAGTTTGTTAAAACTCAATTCCAGGCAATTATAAAGGTAGTAAAAGTCTGATAATGCCCTAGAATTTGATGATGGCAAATGCAGGGAATACTTCAGTGATCTTGGAGTTGTTCATAAAACATCATGTGTGGATAGACCACAACAGAATGAAAGAGTGGAGAGAAAATATAGAAATATTCTTGAAATGGCAAGAGCCCTGAGATTTCAAGCAGGTTTGCCTCTCAAATTCTGAGGTGATTGTGTGTTGACAGAAACATACGTCATCAATAGAACTCCAAACAGAATTGATAAAAACAAATCACCATATGAAAAAATATTTGGTGAGAAACCTGATTATTCTCATATGAAAGTGTTTGGATGTCTTGCCATGGCTTATAATCTAGTTTTGAATAGAGATAAATTTGTTGCAAGAGGTGTCCCTTGTGTATTTCTTGGGTATGCTCAAAATCAAAAGGGATACAAGTTGCTGAATCTCATGAACCAACAATTGTTTGTATCTAGAGATGTTAAGTTATATGAAAAGATATTTCCCTACAGCAAAGGGAAATCAACTCAGAACTGTGTGAATCTAGTACCCGTGCAATTCCCATCAAATATACTTGCTTCAAAAGAAGAGGAAGTGGAAGAGACTGGAGATGAAAATGGTGGTAACCGGGAAGACCTAAATGATCAGAATGAAACAAATGCAGAGCATTAGATAGTGTCAGACTTAGATGAAAATGATACCTCAGATCACACAACAGAATGAGATGAATAATCATATTACAAATCAGGCAAGTGATGAGCCATAACCTATTCAGATTGATCTGAGAAGATACACTAGAGCAAGAAAAGATCCATCTTGGACCACAGATTATTACGTGGGGCAGAAAAGGGCCCATGCCACCTGTGTCTCCACCTCGTTTCAGCCAGAATAGAGCCTCAATTTGCAGCATTCCTGACTCAAGATGTCAATTAGAGTGACCCTAGTCATTTCAGAGAGGCTGTGAAAGAAGAAAAGTGGTTAGTAGCCATGAATGAAGAGATCTCAGCTCTGGAGAAGAATGGCACCTGGGAAGTTACTGACTTGCCAACAGGAAAGAGGGCGATAGGTAGCAAATGGATGTACAAAACAAAGCTTAACCCGAATGGGACTGTAGAAAGACACAAGGCAAGAGTAGTTGTGTTGGGTTGTAGAAAGAGATATGGGATTGATTATGATGAGACCTTTGCCCTGGTGGTAAAATGAGTACAGTGAGATCCTTACAGGCAGTAGTAGCTATTGAGAATTGGGTAATGTGGCAAATGGATGTGAAAAATGCCTTCTTGCATGGTGACTTGGAGGAGGATGTGTACATGACCATGCCTTCTAGATATACTGGTTGGGAGAGCAGAATTCAAGTGAATTCTTCAGAGCAAAAAGAAGCCAAACACCATAAAGTGTGCAAGCTCAAGAAATCCCTATATGTGTTAAAACAAGCTCCCAGGCAATGGTTTTCAATACTATCCACTGCCCCGAAATAGTTTTGATTTACTCAATCCAAAACTAACTATCCTCTATTCACCAAAGAACATGGTCAATCATTTGCTGTGGTTCTAGTGTATGTTGATGACTTACTGCTAGCAGGGAATGATAAGTCACTTCTCACTGAGGTAAAATAATTCATGGCTTCTCAGTTTCATATGAAAGATCTAGGAAATATCAGGTATTTCTTGGGAATAGAAGTGGATAAATCTAAACAAGCCATCTTCCTATCCCCGAAAAAAATACACTCTGGATCTTATCAAAGAGTTTGGTATGCAGAGAGCCAAACCTATCAAGATACTTATTGATCCACACTTGAAGTTAACAGCAAAAAATGGTGATTTGCTGCCCAATGTAACTGAGTATCAAAGACTGATTGGAAGATTAATATACCTGGGGCTAACAAGACCTGATATCACCTATGTAGTAAACACTATGAGCCAATTCATGCAACATCCCACTTCAGTGCATATGCAAGCAACAAAAAGAATTTTGAGATATCTGAAACTAGCTCCTGGTCAAGGCATACTGCTAGCATCTAACTAAGCTGCAATTTTGACTGCGTACTCAGATAGTGATTGGGGTGGATTTCCTATCACTAGAAGGTCAACTACTGGATACAGTATCCTCCTAGGAGCATCGCCAGTGTCATGGAAGTCCAAAAAATAGTATGTTGTAGCAAGATCATCAGCAGAAGCAAAGTACAGGGCAATGGCCCTAGCAACTAGTGAAGTTACTTGGCTCAAACAATTGCTTAAGGATTTTGGGATGAAGAAAATAGGAGCTGCAATCTTGAAAGTAGATAACAAAGCAGCCTTGTCAATTGCAGCAAATCCAGTTCAGCATGAATGAACAAAGCATGTTGAACTCGACTGTCACTTTGTTCAAGACATGTCACTGCTGGAGAGATAAGACCTGAGTATATACCCTCATCGCAGCAGCCAGCTTATATCTTAACGAAGCCTATGAACATAGCTCAGAAGCAACAATTATTCTCCAAACTATGAATTACTTCAAATCATTCCTAGTTTCAGGGGGAGTGATGAAGATAGGCGTATTAGCTACCATATGATACATTGCTTGTCTTGTAGTGTCTGTTGTCCTGTAGTGCAGCTGTAATAGCTGAGTCACTAGGTCAGATCATTCTAGGGATTGAAACCTATGAGTATATAAATGTACAGAGGGTGTAATTGAAGGGAATAATACGCATATAATATTTTGAGCCGCCATAAACATTCTCCTTCATTGTTCTTGCTGTTGCTTCCAATATTGAGACTCATTTGTCTTCAAAATGAAGAAAAAACCAATATATATTACCCTTATGATTGACATGTATGTTTTATTGAGTTAATATATCAACTCGTATTTTCTCTTTTTTTATTTTCTTTTTCTAAATAATTAAGGTTGATTTATTACAATTAAAATGATTGTTTAAGCCACTTATTACAATATGCCATATGATCCACGTAACTTGCTAAAACGATTAATGCAAGTCAATGATCATCTTCGAAAGGCACCACCCGTCGTTGAGATTAATATGTAAAGACCAGTAATGGTTGAAATGAATCATGTAAAATTTTCCATAAATTATAAATTATTACTTTATTTCCTTACAAACTTACGCTTTAATGTAGAGGTGATCAACTACGGCCTGACCCGTTAGCCCAGCCCGAAAAATGGGTAGGTTGGGCAAGGCTCAATACACGTTTCTGGTTAAAAATCCGAACCCCCCCTGAAAAATCCCGACAAGCTCACTTAGGCCCAAAAAGTCCGCCATTTTTGAGTGCGTTTAGGCATGAATTATGATGTTAAGGCCCAACCCGATCCGAATTTTTAATCACCTCTACTTTAATGTAGTTACGTACACTATGTAACAAATGAGTTTCTCTTAGCCACGTTTATGTTTGCAATTGAATCAAATTTTGCTGAATTGGCCACACGGCCCATACCCTTTTTACTAGACTTAGGCCCGTTTATAAATTCCCTAAGATTTAACAAGTTCAAAATTTCTACAGATAATTTTTCTTTTGAATGGAAACTGAAAAAAAAATGACGTAAAATAAAGCCAGAAATTATAAATGAAGAAAACCAAAAGTAATGTGTATGTGAGAATGGGGAGGCCACGTAAACAAATTGTTCCGACAACTTGACTTTATTTCATTTGATAGTTGATAAAAATGAACTTAGACATTGACTAGATTAGCCATATCCATTATTCGTCTTTTCTGATAATTGAGATTTACTTCTACTCGTACAATATTTCCTTTCAATCAACTTACGGTATCGTTCCTCTACAACGACAATTATGACAATGTTTCTTGGAAATAAATGGGAATATACAAGGGCAAATGTGGCACAATTTTAAATAACTTGAAGTTAGACATAGGAATGAAGAAAACAAACGAGAGCATAGCTCTTAGCCCCGTTTTAAGGGAATTACTTTGTATCTATCATAACGGTTGTACTCCATATCCTGCTAGCAATGCAAGTATCACTTATCTCCTCGATTAATATATTGAAATTCAAAGCAATATGCTACTCCCTCCATTCCACGAAGTTTTTCAAATGAATTGTACATATACATACCAAGAATTCCGAGCAATATGCTACTCCCTTCATTTCATGAAATTTTTCCCATGAATTGTAGATATACATACCAAGAAAATATTGCCAATATAAAACTAATAGGTTTTTTTTTTTTTTTTTTTTTATCACAACGTTCGAAATTAAACAATTCGCAAACAATCCTTTGTCTTTTGTGATTTATACGTTGAAAAATATAATCATTGAAATCTTGTTAAATTCATCTCGATTTATACTTTTTATACCCCGTATATCAATTTTTTTTCTTTATATTTTTAATAAAAAATATTTTAAGATATTAATTATACATATAAAATAATGTGCATTGACATCGAGAAATTAGTCTCCAACATCACAATTAAAAACGAACGGAGTAAATATAAAACAGTATACCTTTTAAGGGGAGAAATAAAGTGCAGTAAACAAAAGTGGTAAGAAAGTGTAGGTCGATCAATATGGGGTAAATAAAAGTGAGAAGAATTTCATAAAATGATTAAAACAATAAGCGAGAAAAATTTCAGACAATGGAGAGAGTATCATGTTTGAAAAAATATATATATTTGTTGAAATGAAATTGTTGCGCCGGCTTATACTACTTGAAAAACAAAATAATACTTTGATTTTTTTTTCCTATAAACATTTTTTGTTTTTTTGAAATTCTATACATTGCCATAAATTATACTTCGCCTTTTTTTTAAATAAAAAAAAAAAAAGAAATAGAGGGAAAAAATATATTCTTTATTTTTGTATAATTTAGAATATAAAGTACTCATGAGGTAACATATGAACACTTAGAGCACTCACAACCATGAGCAAAATATTTACTCATGGGCATATTTTGTGAGCAAAAAATATGCTCATCACCCACAATAGTGAGCAAATCCAAAAATGCAAGAAAAAGCCCATGGGCATAAATGAAAATGCCCAAAGTATGGGCATTTTAATTGATGAACAGTGCTGGAAGTGGGGCCCACATGTTGCAAATAAGCTTAAAAAAATTTGGCTGCCAGACCATCAAAACGACGCGTTTTGGGCTAGCAGCCTTAATGGTGCTGGCCAAAACGCGTCATTTTGACGTAAAATAAATAAATAAATAAAACCGGCTACTGTTCGCGTCAGTAAGCCAGCCAATAGGCGCGCGACACGTGGCGTACTGCAGGAGCTTGGCCAATGAAAAAATTAGCCGTTTTACAACGGTAATATTGTTTGTAATGCATTTTCTGAAAAATATTTTTGGTAAAAAAAAAAAAAAATTTACCAACGGTCATAAAATTAAATTCTCTATAAATAGACATGCACTTTGATATATTTTGATATATTTTCGAAATCACTTAAAATCCTCCACTTTTTTATTTTCTTAAGCATTTTAAATTTGTTGAAGAGCATTTTTGTTGCAACACACCCATATTGAGGTAATTTTTTTTTTTATTTTTTTTATTATTTAAATTCAGTTATGTAATAAAATTAGTATATATGTGATTTTTTGAAAAAAAAAATATTGTATGCCATGTTGTTTAATTGCATTATGTAATTGAAGAAAGTTGTTAATATGTTCTCCATACATTACTAAATTTGTAGTAAAAAAAGTGTTGCATTTATTGGTTACTTTTTTTTTTCTAATATTAAGTTATGTATTAAAATTAGTATATGTGTGTTTTTTTGAAAAAAAAAATATTATATGCCATGTTTACTTAATTGAAAAACCCAATTGAAGAAAGTTGTTGATATTTTCTCCATACATTACTAAATTTGTAGTAAAAAAAGTGTTGCATTTATTTGATATATTTGCTTTTTTTTCTAATATATAAATTTAGTTATGTATTAAAATTATTATATGTGTGTTTTTTTGAAAAAAAAAATATTGAAAACCATGTTGTTTAATTGCATTATGTAATTAAAGAAAGTTGTTGATATTTTCTCCATACATTACTAAATTTGTAGTTGCAAAAGTGTTGCATTTATTGGTTACTTTTTTTTTTTCTAATATATAAATTTAGTTATGTATTAAAATTAGTATATGTGTGTTTTATTGAAAAAACTTATGTTGAATGCCTTGTAATGTAATTGCATTATATAATTGAAGAGAGTTGTTGATGTTTTCTCCATACATTACTAAATTCGTAGTTAATAAAGTCTTCCAATTATTGGTTAATTTTTTTTTAATATATAAATTTAGTTATGTATTAAAATTAGTATATATGTGATTATTTGAAAAAAAAAATTATCTTTTGTAAAAAATTAGTAAATTTTAGTACAAATATTTATCTTTTGTTTTGTGATGCAGAATCTTTTAATGGATCCAAACAACCCAAATTTCCGCCAACAATTTTCTGGTTTTAGTGATGATTTGCTAACTAATCCCGAGTTTCAATTGTTCTTGCAAAGAATGGGCAATACGTCTTTGCAACCATCTCCACAGTATCAGACACCCACCCAGTTTCCCCTACGAAACCATGTTATTGAAGAATGTACACCTGAAACTGTACATGATAGCAACACACAATTCAATGAGAGCGAAGAGGACAGCGTACCAGAGACGCCGCAATATCCTCCACCAGTTCCCGAACTGTAATCCAACCAGGTTGTTGCACGACCGACTCGAATTTGGTCAGTTGCGGAAGATGAAACTCTGATTGGGTTGTACTTGGAGATCAGCGAGAATGCTATTAAAGGCACGAGCCAGAAAGCAACTTCCCTTTGGCGCGATGTACACGCAGCATATCAAAGTGCTCATGCGGAGAAGCCGAATATAATTCTGCCAAGACCTATGAAGAGTCTGACGTCGCACTGGAGAAGGTTGGCAGCAGACACACTACAGTGGATATCTTGCTATGATGAAGCAGGTAGACTTCCGGAGGGAGGGAGTGGTTACAACGAAGCTGACCGAATAAAAAGTGCGTCGAAGCTTTTTCATCTCGCCCAAGGTCGCAATTTCGCTTTTCCTCACGCGGTTGAAATGCTTA